GATCAATATACTAGCTGCACACTCTAGGTAAGAACTACGCGAAGGATGAGCACATAACATTGTGTAAACCTGTATGATTTATGTTGTTGTTTTTCAGAGTTATCTATATTAAGCATTTAACTTTTTTTTTTTTTACTGCGACTCATACATGCGCCACTGGCACTGAAACACATTACTGACATTCTTCTGCAACAACGCCTCGTATGATTAACATACAATACACGTTGGCAAACTTCGGCTGACTCTTGCCACTGTATTCCTCACTCACATATCTTAAGGCAGTTAGATGATTAGTTAAAGTGAACGTATATTTGCCCATTTTCGAACCCTGCCTCCCTTCACTTCTATTCTTTTTTTTTGTCACGTATGTCGTATTGTTATGTCTGTCTGCTGAAGTCACTGTTGTGTCTGCCTGTTGAAATTACTGTTGCGTCTACTTGTTGAAGTCACTATTGTGTCTTCTTGCTGAAGTCGCTGTTGTATCTGCCTGTTGAAATCACTGTTGTGTTTTATTGCTGAAGTCACTGTTGTCTGCCTACTGATGTCACTGTTGTGTCTGCCTGGAGATCAGTCGTGTCAGCGTGGAACAGTAACTAGTAACTCCAACTTGGAAGTCAGTTTACGGCGAACCAAAAACAGCCGAATCATGGTGGAGATCGCAGGTCCAATGCTCATCGTGAAGAGGCAACCTCAAAACATAAAAAAAAATAATTGTCTCCTTGAGGAGTTATTGCTTCATTCACACGCTGCATTGACGCATTTAATTTCATTCTGCAGTTTGCTACGTGATACAGTGAAAGGATTACAGTCGAATCAAAACCTGGCCAGGAGCCCCCAGGTTCCTTAAGCCGTCACTTACCTCCCCCCCCCCCTCCTCGCAATGCCACACAAATACCATGTTAAGTAGTGAAGAAGTTATTAAACAGCAAATCGCCAAGAAAACAAAAGACTCCTATGAATGTGTGAACAGAATCAAAGAACAATATGAAAGAACGACGCCTGACACGAGAGAGAGTTGTACATAACATGGTAGAGGAAAGGAAGCAAACAGGAGTTAAACTTTATGAAGTACGGCGAGGGTTCAGAGAGGGGGGGGGGAATTCTGCCTAACCAGGTTCAGAAACACTCTCGAAATCGTATTGGCATGATTGTAAATAACTCATCCAACGGATGGTTGGAACCCTTGACAAGCAAGCCAGTCCTAAAACTAGCTGGCCGAATTTGAGTTAATAAATTAGACACATATGCAGCACATGGGTATCTTTATTGAGAAAAAGTTACGCCACACAGTGGATTCATGATTCCTATACAGAGAAGAAGGTGCAGATCTGAAGGAGTTTGAGGTAATCAGTCCCTCAGCCTGGAGTCAGTGTAATCGACTCCAGGCTGAGGGACTGACCACCCCAAACTGTTTTTCTCCAAGGTTGATGCAGTGATTACATCATCTTCACATCGCCACTAATGCTGCCTACAATACATTCTCTTCTGTATCTGACTGATGAAGCCTACCGTGTAGGTGAAACGTTTCAAGAACAAAGATACCTAACTGTTAAACTGTATCAGAGCTGTTATATCAGCACTGCTGTTATATGAGAGCTGCTGTTGTATGAACACAACAGCGGAACAATAATTAACACCAAAGTAGATCTGTTAAGAAAACGATCACATGTTCAAAACAAAACTAATAACCATGAGAGATTTTAGTCATAAAGAAATAGAATGGGAGAGAAAGGAAGACAGTACAAGAAACAGGAAGAAACGAGCCAAGAAAGCCGAGTCTGATCTTTGTTTTAAGCACTTCTGATAAGGAGAAATAGACTATGGGAGCCTTGTAGACGCTAACACTCACATACTCCTAAGTTTCGAATACCTTGTGAAGGTAGACCTGGAGAGGAGCACAACAGAAGGCTAAAGGCACAAACTCGATATAAAAACAAGCCAATGCAAAAAAAGGACAGATTTCCTGAACACAGTAAGAAGAGAAAGGGAAATGGAAGGGTAGACATGGGAATAAGATGGCAGAGTACCTAGCAAAAGGGTGGCGGGAGGTGAAGGAAAAAAAACACATATCCAAAAGAGGATAGAGGAGGTAATGTGAGAGAGCACATTAATTCACCCAGAGGTAAAAACAAGAAATATAGGAACACGGAAAAAGTACGACAATGAAGGACAGCAGAAAATAGAGAAGTGAACAGAATCGCTAAAAAAGAAAATGCATAGATGAGGAGAGAGGCTGAGCAGCAGTCTGAGAATGAGCTCACCAAGAGGAAAGCTTTAAGTGAAACACTTTCTAACAGCCACACTAGAAGTAAACTGGTGAGTGGGGAAGGAAGATTATTATTATATTTATAGGGAGATGCTCGGACTCACAAGGGTCAATATCTTTGATATGCATATTATGTAAAGTAAAGGAAAAAACAATCTGAACAAGAGTGGTGGAGCACCTGGTGAAAAACACTTCCACAAACCGTCACAAATTTCCTGTAGCTCTGTGATAGGGTAAAAGAAACGAAGCAGGAAACAAAATAAATAGTTGAAATGTATATTTGCAGGAATGCAAAAAGCCGTTTGATGCTACCGCATAGTAGACTGGGTCAAAAGTCAGCATGGCAGGCAAGGAAGAACATTAGCTGTACACTGAATCAAATAATACCTAAGTTAAAAAGCAACAAAGAGTGACAGATCGTGAAGAGGTATCAGAATGGACAAGTATAACAAGTTGGGTTCCGGGAGGATATGTACTGAGACCGGTACGGCTTCTGGTATATATGAACGACATGCCAGAAGATAAAGTCCTATGCATCCCAGTTTGCAGACCGAAATTAATGAAGAGAAGAAAAACCAGATAAGACAAGTACAGGGCAGAGTATGATCTGAACACACTGAAGGGATGGTCTGTCAAGTGGATGTTGGAATTCAACAACAGCAAATACAAGTTTATATAAATTGGGAAAAGGGAAAAGATGTTTGTAAACTCAAGGACCTGAAGCTGCAAACCTTACTCAAGCAAGAAGACCTAGCGGTGCGCATAGTGCTATGCATATCAAACCATACCACGGGCGGGATTTGAACCCGCGATCAGAGAGTTTCAAAACTCCAGACCGTCGCGACGGTCTGGAGTTTTGAGACTCTCCGACTGCGGGTTCAAATCCCGCCCGTGGTATGGTTTGTTTGCAATCGTGTCATTACGATTTGGTGAGCTATGCATATCGCCAGGGGCGCACATCAACGGAATAGCCTCCACGGCATATATGTAACTGACGAATCTAAAACTGACATTCAGAAACCTCAATTACGAGTCATTTATGACCCAATATGTGACATATATCATACCGACCCTGGCATATACAGCACCATTATTGAAATCATACCTGTTAGTGAATATCACGACACTAGAAAAAATACAATGATTTATAATGAGACTAGTCGAGAAATTAAAAGAGATGAACTAAAAGGAAACCCTAATGACATTAAATGACAGAAGACTCTTCACGCATGTGACTACTGAATGCACGAAGAAAAAAGCATAAGCGTTTATTATAACAATGTTTCGCTTAATGGAGCTTTATCAGGTTCTAATAAAGGTTTATTTATGCTTTGGAGAGTGTGTGCATTTCTCATCCACTTGTCTGCTCCTACCAGGGAAAGAAAATCAACATAAGTGGAATTACCAATAGACCCCAGGCTGTTTTCATGAAGGAGGTGGACAGGCACCTAAAGTCAGTACCTGACCAACCAGGCTGTGGCTCGTACATCAGCTGACGTGTGGCCAGCAGTAACAGCCTGGTTGACCAGGCCCTGATCCACCACGAGGCCTGGTCACGGGTCGGGCCGCGAGGGGGTTGACCACTGAAACCCTCTATAGGTATACTCCAGGTAATGATAAAAGGAAACACAAACATCCATTTGGAAGTTAAAGCCGCAAGTTATCGACAGCGATGTCAAGAAATACTTCAGGATCAGCATGATCGGAAACTAGAACAACTTGTTTCGAGTAGTAGCAACGGCAAGAAAAATACATAATAATATACACTTGGAAAATCCTAGAGGGATTAGTACCAAACTTGCACACGAAAATCACTCACTATGAAAGTAAAAGACTTGGTAGGAGATGTAACATTCCCCCAATGAAAAGCAGGGGCACCACGAGTACGCTAAGAGATAACACAATAAGTATCAGGGGACCAAGACTGTTCAACTGCCTCCCAGCATACATAAGGGGGATTACCAGTAGACCCCTGGCTGTCTTCAAGAAGGCGCTGGACAGTCAACTAAGGTCGGTACCTGAACAGCCGGGATGTGGTTGTTAAAAGTTGGTTTACGTGCGGCCAGCAGTAACAGCCTAGTTGATCAGACCCTGATCCACCACGAGGCCTGGTTTCAGACAGGGCCACGGGGGCGTTAACCCCCGAAACCCTCTCCAGGTATACTCCAGACAGACTCCAGAAACAGCTTTAACAATACGTATGATAGTGCCCACGAAGCCAGGAGTGTGAACCCGGTCACCGCCATTAAAGAAACAGAACCAGGACTTAAAGACAAGATTCCACCCCAGACTGGAAAATCTCAGAACAGCATTCAGAAACCTATACACAGAGCTTAGGGCACTACACACGATGAATGTTAAATCCATCAGAGAATGCAGCGTTAGTGTAGAACTCAGTGAGTACATCTCTGAGTACACACGTCGTCAATCTCACACTCTTCGGGGCTAGTGTAGTAGGGGTTGATAAAGGTAATAATAGGTTTTAGTATGCGCAATAAATAACGTATATCTCGCGAAAACGCTTATTTACTTCGATATTATTAGACTGAAAACATATTAGGATGATCGGTACACCGCTGTGTCATGACCTGAATTGCCTTGTTCCGCTGTAGTAATACCCATCATGCGGTTCATTCAGGCTATTTCATTTCTGGCCTTGAACCTTGAAGATTGGTTGCTGGACGCGGCGGTATATAAGGTAGAGCTGTCTCCACCACCAATGCACAACTCTCGCTCTCTGCTCACAGTTCAAAGTCTACTGTTCCCGCTCTTCCTCGACGACCCCCTCTTCGAACGCCTGCCCCTCCTCGACCGTCACTTTGACAACGAACAGAGGGATCAAGCACACTCCTACTCTTAGTACTTAGAAGCCTGCAAGATGAGGCTCACAACGCACTTGGTGTTTACAGGTGAGTGTTGCCTGTTGCTCCTTCTACTGTAATTACACACACACACACACACACACACACACACACACACACACACAGTGGTCAGGGCTTGGAATGACCTGGACAACGAAATGAAGGCAAGAGTTACCCACAGCTTCAGGCACAGGAGAGGGGTGAATCCTACTAGTAGGGGCCACTTTGAGACGAAGCCAGGAGCTGAGACTCGACCTCCGTAACCACAAATTGACAAGTAGAAATAGAAGAGAACAAATAGGTGACTGCACACAAATATTAACTTGTATCTGAGTAACCTGGCTAACAGAATACCTGAATAAGCTTCTGCTTATTCAGGCAGTAGACAAAACAAATGTAATAAGAAGGCAAATGACTACCGACAACTTGAGGGAAATGAACACGAATGTGTACACTAAGGACGTCTTGACTCAAGTTGTTTAGATCCAAGTACCTTGATCACTTTAACTACATGATGAGTAGGAGAGAATACAGTACAGGCTATCTATATAATAGCCAGAGAGAGAGCGAGAGAGAGAGAGAGAGAGAGAGCAGTAGTAGTTTATCTGGAGTTAGTTCCGGGGGTCAACGCCCCCGCGGCCCGGTCTGTGACCAGGCCTCCTTAGGTCAGTGTCCCAGGATGCGACCCACACCAGTCGACTAACACCCAGGTACCCATTTTACTGATGGGGAACATAGACAACAGGTGGAAAGAAACACGTCCAATGTTTCTACTCTGGCTGGGAATCGAACCCAGGCCCTCATCGTGTGAAGCGAGAGCGTTAACCACCAGGCCACCAGAGCCCTAGTGACAATTGGTGCAGAACGATGGAAGTAGAGAAGAGTTTACAGTATCTTATGGTTGTGTCAGGTGGCTGTCTCGAAGTAAAGGTTGTGGAACAGTTACAGCTGGCAATTTTAAGAACGCTGGTGCTACAGATGACGATGGGTGATACCTCAAGACACCTGCGTCACCTCAAATTTGGTTCCGTGTAGAGCAATATAGTATCCAGCGTTGGCGAGATGTTGAACTGACGCTTAATATTTATTAAATATGTGCCGTGTATAATAGTAAGGCCAGCAATAAAAATAAATAAAGTTCATGTAAATAAACACAATAACATGACTAGGCTTCGAAACTAAAGATGAAACAAAAAGGCTAGTAATAATAAAAAAAATAGCAATAGAAAAGCAAAAACATTTCTGTATTAATAATAATAATAATAATAAATAATATATATATATATATATATATATAATATATATATATATATATATATATATATATATATATATATAATATATATATATGTATATATATTATATAATATATATATAAAATATATAAATATATATATATATATATAATATATATATATATATATATATATATATAATGCTAACTTCATACAATACTGAGCGTGATGGAGTGTTCATGTGCTGCTCAAGGATTTATTTACTAACATAACTTGCACTGTTACCCCAGTAATAACACCAGCTCATCTGTCCGAAAATTAAACATGATTACATTCTCGCACAACGGATAGAGTTTGAACCCATGACAAGCTTGCCCTAATATCAGCAGTCCAGTAAGTTAACCACCGTACTGTGCCGATTTAATTATACTCTTCCAACTAGGTTTATTGCTATACCCTAGGAAGATTAGCATGAGCCACACTAGCAAGCTACTAGCTAAAGTCCCTTTAAAACCGTCATCAAATGACTAGCGATTAGTAATAATACGATTGTAAATCACTCACAAAACGGATAGTGTTAGACCCCATGACGAGCCAATCCTAAAACTGCATTGCGGCCACAGTGGGGCCGCAATGCAATCTTCCTAGTGTAGAGAAATACTCCTAGTTGAATACATCTTATTAGGCCGGCGCATAACAGGAGATAAGTGCGTTGGTCTGCTAGCTGGCGACTAGACGAGTAACAATTCCATCACATTCCCTTTTAAAGAAACGCCCACCAAACATCACCTAAATAAAGAAGCCGCTGACAAAATCACTAGATATCTCAAAAAAGATTACAAACATATTTTACTAGCACAGTCTGGGAGCTGATACAGAAGTGATACTTTGTTAACACTGTCGTGATTTATACTAAAGCGAAGCGTCCTGACGGTCGCTACGTCTCCTTAATAATTACTTTTCTCTCTTCCTACAGCTCTTCTTGGAGCATCACTGGCGGTGCAGCTCAATTACTTGGCACCAACAAATGGACTTAACGGCAACGGAGGCAATGGTAATGGTGGATACACCAACGGAAACGGAGGGAATGGGAATGGAAATGGTGGCTACAGAAATGGTAACGGAAATGGCAATGGTGGCTACGCTAATGGTAATGGAGGCCACACAAATGGAAACGGGGGCTTCAATGGAAATGGTGGCTACACAAATGGAAATGGCAATGGAGGTCAAATAAACGGCAATGGTGGTTACACGAATGGAATTGGACTTAATGGAAATGGAGCAGCAGCTAATGGATATACAAATGGAAACGGATTCACAAACGGAAATGGTGCATATTCCAATGGCATTGGGTATGTCAATGGTGGAATTAATGGTAATGGGGTAACCAACGGGAACGGCTATGCAAATGGTGGATACAGCAATGGAGTGGCTAACGGAAACGGACTGGAGGATCCCATCACCGCCCTGGCTAATGCTATAAGAGGTGAACCCGGCGTGGACTATCCCATCCTGGCTTACGTACCCGACACAGGATTTACCTGCAGTGGACAGATCCCTGGATACTACGCCGATACTGCCCTAGAGGCCGGCTGTCAGGTGAGTATCATACTGCCCCCGAGGCTGACTGTCAGGTGAGTCTTACACTGTCCCTGAGACCAGCTGTAAGGTGAGACTTACGTTCGGACCAAATGGTCAGCTGTCATGTGATTCTTGAGACTTTATGTCAGGAAAATGGTAAACAGCTCTCGAGGGCAGCTGATGAACATGCTGGTATAGGTAATTCTCGCTAACTTCATAACATAATGGTTACATACAGTATATTCATACCACAACTAATTTTAGCTTTTGCAGCAATGCTGGTGCTTTCTTTAGCTGTTCAATAGGTTAACTTCTTACGAGGAATATTAAACAACTGATTCATACAAAATTTTTGTTTTCACCACGATGAACAGCTTGTGATTGTGAACTAATTGTGAAAAGTTCATAATTCATCATAACTGTCGGACTGAGATCTTGGAATTTTAATAACTAATCAACAACTCCATTAACAACTTAGTATCGGACTTAGATTTGTTCACAAATAACATGTGACTAAATATAATTAGCTTCTTGACAAACGAGCACAAAATCGCGTTTGTAATTAATATTCACAGTCAACAAGATAATAGTTAAATACGCAAATTCTGATAAAACCAGAAAAAATTAAAAAAACGAAAGCAAGTCTCATACAAAAAAAAATTGTGATATTCGGCATAAAGGAGCAGTCGAACATTGTCCTGAGTTCAGGAACATGTTGAAATACTACACTAAACATCTTCAAGTTGCATACCAGTAACAGCACGAGAGGTGGCACGTCTTTCACATGTGCCATAATAATACATTGCTTCTCTAAAACTATTGTCTTGGACAGGTGTTTCACATCTGTCTCTAATATTGCGCTGCTTCTATAATGGTGTTGTCCTCCACAGGTGTTCCACATCTGTCAGGCAGATGGCAGGAGCGACTCTTTCCTGTGTCCCAACGGTACCATCTTCAACCAGCAGTACTTCGTGTGTGATTGGTGGTACAACTTCGACTGTTCCACCGCCCAGCAGTTCTATGGTCTCAACGCTCAGATCGGAGTCGTCAGTGGTAATGGTAATGGATACTCCAACGGCATCGTTAATGGTATTGTTAATGGTAATGGAATTTATGCCAACAGAGTAAACGGAAATGGTGCACTTAATGGAAATGGTGGATTCACTACCACTGGAAATGGATACAGCAATGGCGTTAATGGAAATGGTCTAGCCTCTGTTAATGGCAATGGCTACTCTAATGGCAATGGATATTCAAATGGAATTGGCAATAGTAACGGAAACGGTAATGGCAATGGTTACACTAATGGAAATGGTTACACAAATGGAAATGGCTTAATTAATGGCAACAGTAATGGGTACACAAATGGCAATGGTTACACAAACGGTAATGGTGTAATTAATGGTAATGGATATACAAATGGCAATGGAATTAACGGTAATGGATACAGAAACGGTAATGGAAAGAATGGTAATGGACACATTAACGGTAATGGAATAAACGGCAATGGATACACTAACGGTAATGGAGCTAATGGCAATGGATACACAAATGGTAATGGTTTAATTAATGGAAATGGAAATGGTTTTACCAATGGGAATGGCTACACAAATGGTAACGGCTTGACCAATGGCAATGGGGCCAATGGAAATGGATACAGCAATGGTAATAGAATCAACGGTAATGGTCACACAAACGGTAATGGAGTCAACGGAAATGGATACACAAACGGAAATGGAGTCAATGGAAATGGTTACACTAACGGAAATGGAGTCAATGGTAATGGTTACACAAACGGAAATGGAGTCAATGGTAATGCTTACACAAACGGAAATGGAGCCAATGGAAATGGTTTCACAAACGGTAATGGAGTCAACGGAAATGGTTTTACAAACGGTAATGGAGTCAACGGAAATGGTTTCACAAACGGTAATGGAGTCAATGGAAATGGTTACAGTAACGGAAATGGAGTCAACGGAAATGGTTTCACAAACGGTAATGGAGTCAACGGAAATGGTTTAACGAATGGCAACGGAGTTAACGGTAATGGGTTAACCATATCAGCACCAGCGTCTCCCTCCGGCCTGTACCAAACACCGGTCTTCTAGACATTGTTAATGGTAATGGGTGTAACACAATGGTGGTAGCCTTACACTCCGGCCTATTTCAGACACCCAACTTCAGAGTCACTTGATTCTCAACTGTTTGTAAACAGTTTTTTAATACAATGATAGCTGCTGTTGAACTTTTGTCTGTCTTTCTTTACTTCGAGAATTCAAGTTAATTTTCCTCAAGAGGACACTACAAGTACTAAGGTAAACTGCTGAACCGGACATACAGAGAAACACAAGGTGATGGCTGGTCAGGCCACACCAGACTACACCTTTACTAAACTGTTGCTTGCCAAAACTGTTGTAAACTCATAGATTTATATAAATGTAAGTGGAACACGCCAGACATATATTTGTACATAGATTTTAATATATATATATATATATATATATATAATATATATATATATATATATATATATATATATATATATATATATATATATATAATAATTATTTAATAATCACATTTGTTAAAGTTTCAACTCCATAAACCACAATTAATGTTCAAATTTGTTCTGCTTTCAAACTTTTCTTTGCTTTAAATGCTTTTATATATTTTCTTATAATTATTTTTTTTAAAACTAAACAAATAAATATTATTTAACATATATAGTTTTAGTTCCATTTCACATTTTGTTTTTCTAGAAAGTGTTGGATATAATATACCTACATTACCAACGTAATAAACATTACTAAATGTATATCATCACACAAAAATTGTGATGATATGTAACTAAAAATTAAGTTACTGAAAATACAAGAAAATGTAAATTTATGCAATATTTCAGTAAGATAAAATATATAATATGAGAATATTTACGATTCTTGATCAATTATTTATCACATCAGCTTCTCTTCATCCCTTTAACTGCGTCTGATCTACTAGTACATACAAACTGGTACTGTGCCTGACGTACTAGTACGTACGTACTGGTACTGTGCCTGACGTACTAGTATGTAGGTACTGGTACTGTGCCTGACGTACTAGTACGTACGAACTGGTACTGTGCCTGACGTACTAGTATGTAGGTACTGGTACTGTGCCTGACGTACTAGTACGTACGAACTGGTACTGTGCCTGACGTACTAGTACGTACGTACTGGTACTGTGCCTGACGTACTAGTATGTAGGTACTGGTACGTAGGTACGTACTAGTGCGTAGGTACTGGTAGCAAAAGTAAACATAGAAACCAGGAGCTGTTGTTCAACCACCAGCTTCCCTGCCAGCAAGTAGGGTGTGCAAGTGGGTCAAAGATCGCTTATTCAGTCCAAATTTATTACAACTTCGTGATACTATCAGTGGAATTCAGCCACAAAGAACACTAGGTATATAACCCAGTAAAGATAGTGTGAATAATTTCTATGTTCTGATGAATATTGTACTCTAAAGAAATTGCAATACTTTAAGTATTGATTATACATAGCCTTAGTAGAACAGAATGGTAAAAATAAATATAAGAAAATAAGTGCATAGTATATATACAATATATATAACCCAATGTTGGTCGTCTACGACATTACCTGGGTGAACACTAGGTCGTCGCCTCCTATACCCCTCTTTCCCCTACCTGGTACTCCCGGGATCAACGCCTCCGCGGCCTGGTCCACGACCAGGCATCCCGGTGGATCAGGGCCTGATCAACCAGGCTGTTACTGGTGGCCCGGTTGATCCGGCACCGACTTCAAGTATCTGTCCGGCTCCCTCTTGAAGGCAGCCAGGGGCCTATTGGTAATTCCCCTTATGCTTGGTGGGAGACTGTTGAACAGTCTTGGGCCCCGGATTATGCAGTTCCACATAAATTTGTTTTTAAAACACTGATGATAAGAACATAAATAGTAAATTTACCACAATATATATGGGAAGATGAGAAAAAAAATAAATTTTTGAGAAGAGTTCACATGTATATGTCAGCCTGCAGAACAAAAATGCTAGATAGTGTTTCTCATTCATTTAGCACTAATTATGTATATGCATATATATACTTGCTTACATATATATATATATATATATATATATATATATATATATATATATATATATATATATATATATATATATATATATATATATATATATATAATATATATATATATATATATATATATATATATATATATATAATATATATATATATATATATATATATATATATATATATATATATATTTATATATATATATATATTTATATATATATATATATATATATATATATATATATATATATATATATATATATATATATATATATAATATATATATATACGGAGGTTTCACCTCTAGAACTTTACTGTGGACCCTCATCCTCAGAGAAGACAATAAACGTACCCCAGGGAAAACTCATGGTTCTTCCTGGAGCTGTTTGAATATTTTCGTCTCCTACCACCCCCTATATTTTATATTCTGTATGAAATTTTACTGATACACAGAATACATTGACAAAAAACACAAACAAGAATACATTGGAACAGTATATTAAAGATTATGAATCTCCTCCAGCTCCTCCAAAGCCGGAAGCAAGCCAAGTATGTAGCAAGCATTTCCCGTCTGGATGGTCCCGCTGAGACGCTGGAACATGAAAGTGGCTGCCCTTGGGTCCCTGGTGGTGTCGATGAGTCTGGAAGCAAGTTCTTTCAGGAAACGTGTGGCATTTTTTCCCCATGATGCCAAGGTCTCTGATCCCACTGAGATAAACTGATTCTGTTTGCCTAAGTCCCTGAACTTGCTGATCTTGTACTCCTCCATGTGATCAGCAGCTCCTCCCAGTCGCCCGACACTGGGATTGATGCAGGTGTCAGTCAGCGTCAACACACAGGTATAGTCCCATGCTAAGAGCTTGCCATTCTTCCAAGGATAGAGGGTGATCCCATCTGGACAGTTTGCTTGGTTGTGGGTATTGTTGGCTGCTGATGGTCGGGGCTCTCCACTGGGCATCCAGCTGTAGCAAGGGTTCTTTTTATGATGTCGTTGACTTCATGGTGTGTTCCATGCCAGCCCTTAGTTTTGGAACAGTTAACACTATGTAGCCCATATTGATCGGCTTGCGCATCGCTGCAAATACATATATATTCCCTGTGAATTGGGCAGCAAAGTGGAGATCCACTGCAATACGGAGGATCCTAGGGTCGAGGCGTGTTCCCATTGCCGAAATGGGAACTGTTTGGAGGAAGTCACCAGTGCGATGTGCACTCACAGCTTGGAGACGGGAAATCTCTCTGTCTGACGTTATAGCCCTAAGCATGTTGGCAAGCACCATTTCATCAATGAGGCCATCCCAATTTGGCTGTTTGTAGGCCAGTGTTGCACTAGGTATATACAAATATATACATATATATAATATATATATATATATATATATATATATATAATATATATATATATATATATATATATATAATGTTCGTGCCGAATATGTAAAACTGGTCAATTAGCAAGAACTCATTTAAAATTAAGTCTTTTCTAAAATTTTCTCTTATACATTTAAAGATATATTTTTTCATTAATGATAATGTAAAAAATTTTAATTTTGCACCAAAAGAATCTGAGAAAACTTACCAAACCTTATTATAACAAGAACAATTTATTTTCGCCTAACCTAACAAAATATATTTTAGATTTGTTTACAATAATTTAATACTAAACAAACACAGTGAAATATATTTTTTTCGTTAGGTTCAGAATGATTTTGGCGAAATTATTGCATACACAAATTTTCACTTGTCCTATATGTCAAGATGATCGTTGCTATTTAAGCCAAGATCGCAAGTTCTGCCTATTCGGCACGACAATATATACATATATATATATATATATATATATTATATATAAAATATATATATATATATATATATATATATATATATATATATATATTTATATATATATAATTATATATATATATATATATATATAAATATATAAAATATATATATATATATATAATATATATATATATATATATATATGTCGTGCACTCACAAGACATTACCTACGACCTTCCTTAAGTATCTTTCCTTCTCCCATACATACTGAACATACTAAGCATTCTATTATTTTATTTACCTCTACCTGATTTCAGCATTTTGAGTAAGATTGCAGTTGTGTTTTTCACTGTATATATACTTAAATTCTATTTCCTTTCTCTTATTCTTATATATGACATTATTCCATGTATCATCAGAGAAATAATGCCAGTAAATATATAATGAATATTAATTCTCATAACACTGCTCCAAATAATTTCTTTAATGAGGATTAGTGTTTAACCTGTCGGCCTTTGAAACAATATACAGTTTAGTTCTTATTTCCAGCCACGATAGTGACCCAGCAAGTTAGTCTCACTATCACGCGACCTTGACTGACCTGGAGAGTCTCCCGGACGACCAGGTATATAAAGCAACAGCGAGTCGATACACCACCACAACTCTTCCCGCCTCCTCTTCCTCAACACTACCTTCACTAGCTCAACTGTCGGGCAATAACACACCACACTTAAATCAAAATCCGCTAACTCAACAACGGTTCACGATGAGGATTATAACACATATAATATTTGCAAGTGAGTATACTCGAATAATGTTATGCAATCAATCATCGAATATGAAAGCAATAGACTCTCAACAATTATGATTATAACACATTTTACTAACGTAGTCTAGTAGAAGAATGGCAGAGATGCTTTGTTAACACCGTCGTGAAGTGAAGCGTCCTGACGGTTGCTACTTCTGCTTAATAAACATTTCTCTCTCTTCGTACAGCTCTTCTTGGAGCATCACTAGGGGTACAGCTGAATTACTTGGCACCAACAAATGGATTTAACGGCAATGGAGGCAATGGCAATGGATACAGAAACGGTAATGGAGGCCACAGTAATGGTAATGGTGGTTACACTAATGGTAACGCAATTGGCACCGGTGGCTACTCAAATGGAAATGGCGCCTTCGCAAATGGAAACGGCAACGGAGGTCAAATAAATGGTAACGGTGGTTACGCAAATGAAAATGGAGGCTTTTCCAACGGATTTAACGGAAATGGAGCAGTTGCTAATGGATATTCAAATGGAAATGGATTCACAAACGGAAATGGTGGTTATTCTAATGGAAATGGCAATGGATATGTCAATGGTGGAATTATTGGAAATGGTAATGGTGTAACCAATGGGAATGGCTATGGAAATGGTGGATACAGCAACGGAGTGGCTAACGAAAACGGACTGGAGGATCCCATCACCGCCCTGGTTAATGCTATAAGAGGGGAACCCGGCGTGGACTATCCCATCCTGGCTTACGTACCCGACACAGGATTTACCTGCGGTGGACAGATCCCTGGATACTACGCTGATACTGCCCTAGAGGCCGGTTGTCAGGTGAGTGTCATTCTTCCCCCTAGGCTGGCTGTCGAGTGAATCTCATACTCTCCCCGAGGTTAGCTGTCAGGTGAGTAAAATAATGCCCCCGAAGCTGGCTGTCAAGTAAATCTCATCCTGTCCCTGAAGTTGGCTGTCAAGTGAGTCTTACACTATCCCTGAGACCAGCTGTCAGGTGAGACTTGACGCAATGGTCAGCTGTCATTTTATTATTATTCTGCCCTTGAGGCTTTTAAGTCAGGTAAATCGAACACTGCCTTCGAGGGCAGCTGTTGAACATATTGGTATAGTTAATTCTCCCTAATTTCATGAATAAGTCAATGGCTATATACTGTCCATTCATACCACGGCAATCAGTATTTCTTGAAGCCTATTTTATTTTTTGCAGCAATGATGGTGCTTTCTGTAGCTGTTCAATAGGTTAACTTCTCATGAAGAATATTCAACCACCTCATGCAAAACTTTTATGTTTCCTACACGATGAGCAGCTTGTGATTGTGAACTAATTGTTTTAAATTAATGATTCAACATTTTTGTCGTAGTGAGATCTTGGAATTTTAATTGCTAATTTATTTTTGCAGTCAATCAGATAATAATTCAATATGCAAATTATGATAAAACCAGAAAAAATGAAAATAACACTAACAAGTCTCATACCAAGACAAGTTTGTGATACCCGGCATAAAGGAGCAGTCGAACATTGTCCTAAGTTCAGGAACATGTTTAAATACTTCACTAAAGATCTTCAAGTTACATACCAGTAGCAACACGAGAAGTGGCAGGTCTTTCACATGTTACAATACTAAGCACTGCTTCTCTGAAGCTATTGTCCTGGACCGGTGTTTCACTTCCGTCGGTAATAATACGCTGCTTCTTTTATTGTTGTCTTTCACAGGTGTTCCACATCTGTCAGGCAGATGGAAGGAGCGACTCTTTCCTGTGTCCCAACGGTACCATCTTCAACCAGCAGTACTTCGTGTGTGATTGGTGGTACAACTTCGACTGTTCCACCGCCCAGCAGTTCTATGGTCTCATGCTCAGATCGGAGTCGTCAATGGTAATGGTAATGGATACTCCAACGGCGTCGTTAATGGTATTATTAATGGTAATGGAATTTACGCCAACAGATTAAAACGGAAATGGTGCACTAATGGAAATGGATTCACTACCATTGGAAATAGATACAGCAATGGCGTTAATGGAAATGGTTTAGCCTCTGTTATTGGCAATGGCTACTCAAATGGTAATGGATATTCAAATGGAAATGGCAACGGTAACGGAAATGGCAATGTAGTTAATGGAAATGGTTACACTAATGGAAATGGGTACACCAATGGAAATGCCTTAATTAATGGCAACGGTAATGGTTACACAAATGGCAATGGTTACACTAATGGTAATGGTGTAATTAATGGTAATGTTATACAAATGGCAATGGAATTAACGGTAATATATACAGAAACGGTAATGGGGTTAATGGCAATGGATACACGAATGGTAATAGTTTAACTAATGGCAATGGAAATGGTTTTATCAATGGCAATGGCTACACAAACGGTAATGGCTTGACAAATGGCAATGGGGTCAACGGAAATGGATTCAACAATGGTAATGGAGTCAGTGGTAATGGTCACGCAAACGGTAATGGAGTCAATGGAAATGGTTACACAAACGGTAATGGAGTCAACGGAAATGGTTTCACAAACGGTAATGGAGTCAACGGAAATGGTTACACTAACGGAAATGGAGTCAATGGTAATGCTTACACAAACGGAAATGGAGCCAATGGAAATGGTTTCACAAACGGTAATGGAGTCAACGGAAATGGTTTCACAAACGGTAATGGAGTCAACGGAAATGGTTTCACAAACGGTAATGGAGTCAATGGAAATGGTTACAGTAACGGAAATGGAGTCAACGGAAATGGTTTCACAAACGGTAATGGAGTCAACGGAAATGGTTTAACGAATGGCAACGGAGTTAACGGTAATGGGTTAACCATATCAGCACCAGTGTCTCCCTCCGGCCTGTACCAAACACCGGTCTTCTAGACATTGTTAATGGTAATGGGTGTAACACAATGGTGGTAGCCTTACACTCCGGCCTATTTCAGACACCCAACTTCAGAGTCACTTGATTCTCAACTGTTGTAAACAGTTTATAATACAATGATAGCTGCTGTTGAACTTTTGTCTGTGTCTTTCTTTACTTCGAGAATTCAAGTTAATTTTCCTCAAGAAGACACTACAAGTACTAAGGTAAACTGCTGAACCGGACATACAGAGGAACACAAGGTGATGGCTGGGTCAGGCCACACCAGACTACATCTTTACTAAACTGTTGCTTGCCAAAACTGTTGTAAACTCATAGATTTATATAAATGTAAGTGGAACACGCCAGACATTATATATTTGTACATAGATTTTAATATATATATGTCTTGCCTGAAAATTAAACTAGGTAATTAGCAAGAATCTTTAAATTAAGTCCTTTATCGAAATTTTCTCTATAAGTATTAAAGATATATTTTTTCATTAATGTTGTATGTAAAAATTTTTAAATTTGCAACCCAAAAAGAATCTTAGTAAATTACTAACCTTATTATAACAAGAACATTTATTTTAGCTTAACACTAATATATTTTAGATTTGTTTACAGTATTTAATACTAAACTAAACACATTGAAATATATTTTTTTCGTTAGTTCAGATTGATTTTGACGAAATTATATGCATACACAAATTTTCCACTTGTCCGTATATGGCAAGATAGCGTTGATATTTAAGCCAAGATCGCAAGTTCTGCCTATTCGAAACGACATATATATATATATATTATATATATTATAAATAATAATATAATATTACATTTATATTATATATATATAATATTTTTATTATAAATTTGATTATATATAATAATTATATATATATTATTTAATAATCACATTGTTAAGTTTCAACTCCATAAACCAACTCTAATTAATGTTAAAATTTTGTTCTGTTTTCAAACTTTTTTTTTGCTTTAAATGCTTTTATATTTTTTTCTTAAATTATTTTTTTTAAAACAAACAAAAAATATTATTTAACATAATAGTTTTATTTCCAAATTCACATTTTTTTTTCTAGAAAGGTTGGAAAATATACCAAACATTAAAACGTAATAAACATTACTAAGTATATCATCACAAAAAAATTGTGATGATAGTAACTAAAAATTTAAAGTTACTGAAAATACAAGAAAATGAAAAATTTGAAAATTTTTCAGAAAAGATAAAATAAAATATAGAATATTTACGATTCTTGATCAAATTTATCACTCAGCTTCTTTTCACCCCTTTAAAACGCGTCTGATCTAATTACGTACGAACGGACAGTGCCGCGACTAGTACAACGTCTGGTACGTCCCTGACACTAGATGAGGTACGGGTATGTGCCGACGTACTATACGTACAACTTTACGTGCCGAGTACTAGTCATCGTACTGGTACTGTTCTCAATATAACCAGTTACCGGGGAAACCACTGGCCAGTTACCACGACCAACGTCTCTCCTGATCACTACTGAACTCATATTGCGCTGACCGGCATTTTAAAAACCCCTCTCCATAGGGGTACGTGGGCGGCCATCATCATGTCATTTAAAACGAGAGAGAGCAAGAGACAGGTTTATGGCTGAAAGGGGGCTTTCCCCCTGTCTTAATTAAAACGTACAAAACCAGCCTACATAAAATATTTCTTTACCCAACCACGTGCAAAACCCTCCCCCACATGTAAATGGTGACATTGGTGTGGAGTGTGGTTTTAAGTTTAAGGGTATCAAGACGTTAAAGACTGTTTTGAGTACCGGGGGTCAAAGGGAACCTCCCCCACCGTTACCCTCACTCACCCCCTTTCCAGCCTCAACCTTTGCGCCTTTTCAACTTCCGCTTAGTTCGTGTGCAAATTTGCTTCAATCTCCGAGGGTTGACCCGGATTTTGCAATTAAGCCAGTCAGTAAGCCAGAGGGGAAAAGAAAAGCCAGTCAGCCACATCCACCGTCTCCTTCATCCACCTCCCTCCGTGCTTTGTTTTCATCGTTACACATCTTCCAATCAGCCATTCCGGGGGTAACCAGTCAGCCCCCAGCTTTTAACCCACTGAAGAAGAATATGCACGCAGTAAAAGAAGCCAAATTCCTCTGAAGTATTGACAAAACCTTTGTCTCCCTGTTGGGGCTAAATGGTTTTCCCCCCCCTTCCGACATAGAGTGGGTTTACCAGCCCCTTTGGGTAGGGGGGCGCGCCAGTGCTCACGAGATTTTTTTTCACCCCCCATCTCTCCCCCCCACACACACCCACCATCAACCACCCCCACCACCACCCACCCATCTACCTGGTTGTTTGTACCCTTTACCGGCCTAATACGTTTTGGCTCACAAATTTGGCAAAATAGCGGAGCGCGAACGATAAAACCCCAAATTTTGGGAGTCCCCCCCGGGGAGAGCGCATTTTTTTCCCCAACATGAGTGTAGGGCGTCAGTCACACCGCGCAGGACAAACCCACAACCTACCCTCAACAAACCCTAATCACCCACTACACAGATTTCATGAAAAATTTTGAACAAATTTTTTCTTTCATTTAAAGACTTTGCTGTGTGGACATTATAGTAAATTTCTTTTTTGTACCTAAACCTTTTGTTTTTAGTGTAGACCAGTTTTTCTTTGACCGTTTTTTTTGCAATAAATTTTTTAGTGTTTTCGCTCACTTAAAATTTTTTTTTTCTGTGTTTTTTTTATGCTACTCCTTCTGTAGTAATATTATTGTGATGTACCAATCAGTCCACTGTGTGAATGATTCATTTTTTTTTTTCGTGTTTCTTTCAGCTTGTAAATTCCCCCCCGTAATTGTCATTTTATTTCAGCAGTGATATCACCCCATATACCAATTATCCATTTTTTTCTAGTGTGCCTTTTTTTCGTAGCCAGCAGTGTCCTTCCTCTAATTTTTTTTTGCAGCTGTTCCATTTTTTTGCCAGCAAATTTTTTTTCGTATCAGCACAGCAAGATTTTTGTAAGAATATACAATAATGTTGTGTGCCCCCCACTGTAAGTTTAAAATACCCTTTTGTTCCTTTGTTTTTTTTTATTCTATTTTTATATTTCTTTT